GACCCCACCTCCAAGATTCAAATATATGAGCCCAAGGAGGTCATTCCTATTCAAATCCCTCTTCGCCCATCCCCTCATGACCAGCACTCTGTCCTCTGTCTGCAAATATCTCATGTCATTGAAATCAGACCATAGTTTCCCTTTTGTGTGTGACTTATTTCCCTTAGCTTATCTTCATGGCTCATCCATATTTTGGCAGGTGCCATGATTTCGTACCTTTTTAAATGAGAAATAACATGACAAACCATGGCTGGGCCATGGCTTGCTCCTCCATTCATCTACTGAGTTGTTTTCTTTCTTAGCTATTATGAGGATTGCTGCGGCAGATATTGACATAAAATACCAATTTGGTACTTACACTTTCAATTTTGGAGAGTATGTACTCAGAAATTAAACTCCTAAATGAATTTGTTTTTAAAAAATCTGACTTTTCACTGGGCATTGGTGGTGCACGCCTTAAATCCCAGCACTCAGGAGGCAGAGGCAGATGGATCTCTGTGAGTTCGAGGACAGCCTGCTCTACAGAGCGAGTGCCAGGACAGGCTCCAAAGCTACATAGAGAAACCCTGTCTTAAAAAAAACCAAAAAAAAAAAAAATTCCAAAAAACAAAACTCTGATTTTCATTAACATAACTTTTGTTAGTTATCACTGAATCCAGTCTTCATACTACATTTTTAACAGCATAAGAGTTATTTTATTCTTTCATTGCACCATTAAAAACCTCAGTGAAAAATGAAATTGCTGCTTATAAAGCTACCTCTCTAGCTAAGTCTCCCAATAACGCTACTCTTAGCCAACGTGTCTCTACTGGTGTCATTCATAAACACTCTTCCTGTTTCCTGCCCCCTTCCAGCTTCTTCCCTTGAGTGTCAAACATCAGAGCACCAAGTATGAAACTTCTGTCCCTGTGTCCTGCATTTTCCATTCCACCTAGGAACACACTCTTATCTCCAACTTTCAGATGACACACATATTTTCATAATGTCACGGGAGCTCGCAACATTGCTGTTAAAACAATAGTCATTCAATGGAAAGAATTCCAGCCCAGTGGAACAAGGATGTAGTAATATGCTTCAACTCCAATTAGAATCCTCTTCCTACCAAGACTCTTGTTTTCTTATCATCCTCAAAACTGCATATAACACGATGGCTCGGGGTACAGATGGTTCAAACTACTATGTGCAATTGTCTAAAAGAAGATGCTTCTTAGAGATGGGGATTTTTCTGCTAATTTTGAGTTACATAAGGTAAACCATCTCCATAATTCATAAAAATATAATCTAGAGCTAAAAAGTCACCATTTTTCAAACTATTCACTGTAAATTACTGACCACTTGAGAAGAGAAATGTAGTTTCCACTGAGAAGAAAGAGTTATTATACTTTGTGTGTGATCTATAACTCGAAGACGTCCACAGCATGATGAAGTTATTAAAGTCTTTCTCACAAGGCAAACAGCATTATAACTCACTGCCACCTTCATCAAAGCTGCTGAGTTATGGGGTTTATGAAGGGTAATTGCCTTTCAAATCAAGTATGTGGGCAGTCTCTTATTATAAATTTTTACTTTTAACACATAAATTTTCACAATTTGTTCACAACAATTTAAAGCAAGCAGAATTCGGCGGTCAAATCATAAAAGGAAATTACTTCCTATCTGTTCACATCTTACAGGGCATCAAGCATATGCTTTTGATCACCATTCAGTCCCTGACTAATGCTGAGATCCATCAGAACTGTCTAAGTACAAATTAGCTGAAATAGGACATTCCTCATGTGTCTTCATAGAAAGAAAGTGCTAAAGACTTTTTTTTTTTGTATTTTGCAAATGCCATACAATTGTAGTTCATAAGTTAGGAACTGTCTTAGTTCCCTTTCTGTTGCTGTGATAAGACAGAATACCCAAGGCCACTTAGAGAAGACAGAGTTTATGTGGGGCTTATGGTTTCAGAGTGTTGGAGTCTCCAATGATGAATCAAAGGCATGGAGGCTGAACAGGTGAGATCTTGCATCTTGATCTCATCTAGTGCTACACATTAAAATAAAGTAGGAGGGACCCAGGAAACTGCATTTCTTTCAGTTCCTAAATGCTAGTAGGTGCTGGGTTAGAAACTATGCCTCTGTTTCTCACCCAGTGCTACATATTAAAATAACTTTGAGAAGTCTGTAAATTCTCTTCCTCTTCATCGTTAATCCATTAAGAAACCCCTCCTTCCCGAGGTGTGAACCACTGATGTTTACAGAGCTCAAAACTATAAGCAGGGCAGCATATTAGGCTCTATCAAAGCTCACCCATTTGCTCCACCTAAAGAATCCCAGCTGGCTAAGGAAAAGAGCCCCGCTCATCGGTGTTAGTCGGGGTTTCTATTGCTGTAATGAAACATCATGACCAAACAGAAGCTTGGGGAGGAAAGGGCTTATTCTATCACATCACTGTTCATCACTGAAGGAAGATAGGACGAGAGGACAGAGACTCAAACAGGGCAGGAACCTGAAGGCAGGAGCTGATGCAGAGATCAGACACAGGGGCTGCTTACTGGCTTGCTTCCCCTAGCTTGCTCTGCCTGCTTTCTTATAAAACAAAGGATCATCAGCCCAAGCATGGCACCATCCGCCATGGGCTGGGTCCCCCCCCCCCCCCCAAACAC